TCCAGAGAGGACCCTTTTCCATCCCAATTTCCATCACTAGATGGCAGTGTATTCAAGGAGGCAACCAGAATGGAGTAGGCAAAACTAGGAGCCAGAAACCCTGTGCCTTGTCCAGTGCTCATGACCACCCAAGAAAACTCTGGAAGGTTGGCAGAGGCAGGACCCGCAGCCCTGCAACAATGTCAGCAGCTCTTGCCCTCAGAGTTGCACTGCATCACAGAGGCGGGGACAGAGAGCTTAAAGGCCTTCCACCCCGCATGTGGGGAGGCCACCAGCCATCCAGACTGCCCAATAGCAAGCTGCAGCCTTCAAATAGCTCTTTCTTCTATTGAAGTGAAATGTGTCTCTTCAGGACCCCCATCCCTGGACCGCAGTTCTGTCCTCTTTTAACAATCCCCCTTTCTCAAGACAGAGCTCCAGAGATTGAGGGGTGGCTCTGGTCCTCCATCCATTCCACCCCCCCCCCCGGCTTCTTCTTTCCAAGATAAATATTCCACAAATAATCGTTAAAATGACTTCTGTGACTTCTATTTCGCTCAAACGCATTTGGATGTGCTGTGGTGTAATCCAAGCATCAGTGTGGACAAGGAGTCTGAAGATATGGGGCCCATTCTAGAATTCTAGAACCTAGCCGCTCTGTGGCCTTCAGCGTTCTTCTCTAAATGTATTCTGAGATCATAGTTTGGGCAGGTAGGAAGCAGCGCCCATTCCACTTTGGAGCTCTCACATTGCACAGGAAAGCCACTCTAACAGCTGTGCAGTACTTAAAGTACTGTCTACACGGATGGGAGTGCCTCATTCCTGCCCTCTTTGCGGGAGGCAGAAGAGGCAGTAACATCCCACCCAAGCCCAGGCGAGCCACATCTGAGATCCAATCCCAGTGCCTGAGCAGAGTCCCATGGGAATAATTTACCAATGCCAACTACATCACCCACCAAGTAGCCCCATTCTGTGCCAAGCCCTAAGGGCAAGCACCAAGACAGCCAGTGGGTTGTTGCCCAGACAATAAACCATGGACCAATTTTGTCTATTCTTTAGAAGTAAAGCTTGGGAAGAGAAATGGGTTCTCACTGAATCAATGTTCAGACAGAGGATATTCTTCACAATTTTAGATGCATATCCATGTCCCCAAAGAGATTTTTCCCCAAAGCCAAGCTTATTTGTACCAGCATTTCTCTAGTACATTCCTGAAATAAAACTATTTCAGGAATAGTTTTAGTCATATATATAAGTCCCTCTTATAACTCCTGGATCATAACAATGAACAAAGGAGAAACAAAGAATTATTTTACTATCTCTCTTTTCAAGACGGGAGACTTTATCTAGAACTCTGTGGTCCCAAAAGAAAGCCAGTTCCCATCCCCCTTCCCCTCTGAGCCCATCTCCCCAAACTCTGTTTCCCAGAGGAAGTAAGGTCCCTGGTTGGAGTAAGGTCCCAGACTCCAGGAGACATCAGCACTCACGTGGACGCGGCTTTCTATGATGGACAAAGTACTCTGATCTTCATCAGTATCTTATGAAGTAGATGTTACAATGCGAATGTCACAGTCAGGGAATGTAAAGGACACACCCAAGGTCACAGAACTGCTGGGTTCTAGACTGGACCCGACATCCTCAGACTCTACCCACATTGCTCTTTGAATTACACCACCACACATCCAAATGTGTTTGAGCAAAGGGAAGGAAATAGAAGTCACAGTGGTCATTTTTAACCTGCATCTAAAATCCAGCTAAATTAACTAGGACTGTTTTACCTGGCCAAAAAGAAAAAAAAAAGATTTATATTGGGATCATGATAGACTGCATTACTGGCTCAAATTCTTCTTCCCTCCCTGTCTCCACATCCTTTGATATATGGCTTTACAGTTCCTTGTAAGAAAAAGGCAGAATCTATTTTCCCACCCTTCAACTCTGTGACATAGTATGGCCAACGGCTTGAGGCAGAAGTGACAATGGGCTGGTTCTAAGGCTGGACCGCAAGAGCCTCGAGTGCTGCCAGGTGCCTGTGTTGTTGCCGTGAGAAGAGCACACCTGCGCCAGCCCGCTGGTCCCCAGAGGGGACCAGAGGTGCAGGAGAGGTCTGTGAGCGGAGCCCCGGCAGCAGAGACGCCCAGCCAAGCCCGAGAGAGCAGACCCCGGCCAACCTCCGGCAAAAGCCCCTGAACAGACGACTTGTGAGGGCTGCTTGTGTCCGTAACGACTGGTGCAGAGAAAGTCCTGTCCCCCCCATCAGGGAATCCTACACAGGGAGAGAAGTGGGACCCCACACCATTTGTTTCAGACTTTGGGATTTTAGGAATGAATAAAGCTACCAAAATAGGTCTTGGGAACCAACATAGGGCTGCTAACATTTTGCTTTTCCAAGCAAGGGCAGTATATAAAAATAACCACTGTAGCCTACTGTCACCATCAATTCATAAAAGACAGGCCACTGTAACACTACAACTAAAGGAAGGCTATAATCTTGGAGTACGACACAGTCCTTCCTAAGTAAAGATACCTGGCTGCCCTACGTATGTGAGCCTTTTTCTTTTATTCTGTCACAGATCAATGAAAACTGTCATTGAACAGCTCCGGTCTGTGTATTAGCAACTTTTCTGCATGCTTTATGGTAGGACTGTCAGAAGAACACGAAATTAGCCACATATATTTTAAGACTTAAATCTTGGTTCTGTTTGTTCTGTGACAATAGAAAAGTTATGTGTTTGGTTTTTTTTAAATCAAGGCAGAAAATAAAGCTAAAGATACATCTGAACACCACTTGTCGTGCCTTCTCCACTGGCTACCCAAAGCGGCCAGGGCACCCGGTGCAGCTGCCAAACCCTCACCTCAGCACGATGTCTGAGTCGCCCTCCGCAGGTAACTATGATGCCGGCCCTGTGCTTCCATGACTGTAATAATGTGCAAATAAAAAGCAAAGTAGTGATTCCAGTAGAAGCTCTACTAGGGGCTACAGAGATATACAGAGACATAACTACAGAAATGAAAGGCAGGAAATCCCCAGGGCCAGCTCTAGAGACACCTGGCTCAGTCACCCAGGAGTACGACTGTCTTCCCTCTGAGCCAGAGAGCCACTCCATCCTCTGCTGGATGTGTGGGGACCCGAGAGAAGGAAGAGGTCTAAAAGTGGATGGTGGTTATATTAGACTCAGTTGTCTTTCAAAACTGTCCACTGCACCATGGATGCCAGACTGGGTGTGGCCAACAGAATGTGGGCCACTACAGCTGTGTCCTTCCATGCAGAAGCTTTCCGGGCCAGTGTGTGGTCAGAAGGTCTCTCTTTTCCCTCTGCCACGAGACCATCAGAGTGTCCAGTAGAAGCAGCTCATCCAGGTGGAGCCCCAGATTAAAGTCTACAACCAGGCCGGGCGCGGTGGCTCACGCCTGTAATCCTAGCTCTTGGGAGGCTGAGGCGGGCGGATTGCTCAAGGTCAGGAGTTCAAAACCAGCCTGAGCAAGAGCGAGACCCCGTCTCTACTATAAATAGAAAGAAATTAATTGGCCAACTGATATATATATAAAAAAATTAGCCGGGCATGGTGGCGCATGCCTGTAGTCCCAGCTACTCGGGAGGCTGAGGCAGAAGGATCGCTCGAGCCCAGGAGTTTGAGGTTGCTGTGAGCTAGGCTGACGCCACGGCACTCACTCTAGCCTGGACAACAAACCGAGACTCTGTCTCAAAAAAAAAAAAAAAAAAAAAAAAAAAGTCTACAACCAACTCCCAACGGGCATGTACCACGAATAAGAAATTAACCCTGGTTGGTGGGAGTCATGGGGACTTGGGATGCATTTGTCACTGAGGCATGCCCATGCCCACCTGACCTGCCCTATGGGCTGCCATGATTGCAGGCGGCGGGCTCAACAGCAGTGGCAACAGAGGGAGACGGGGAGTTTGTCCCGGGGGTACTACTGCACCTGAACCCGAGCAGGTCGAGGCAGGGGCGAGGGTTGAACATAGAGACGCCTGAGACGCAGGGCCCTGGCCCCGCGGAGCACGTGACCACCGGGAAGGCTAACCTGACCCTCTTGTGTGTGGATCTGGGTTTTCCGATTGCTACCAGGCCCGGAAGGAACCCACACACCTGCGCGCAGAAGCAAGCGTTATTCTTTGGAATGGGAAAACCTGGGATCGAATCCCAACTCCAGCACTTCATCCCCACCTACAGCCGCTCCTCCCTGGGTACTTACTGTGCCAGGCAAGCGGGGAATAGGCAAAGACCTGGGCCTCACAGGCCCACACGCAGGTAGGAGAACAGACAAGAAGTAAGGTACGTCCCAGTTGGGTGAGTGCTCTAAGGAAATGAACAGGGGGAACGGAGAGAAACTGGGGCAGGCGGCTGCAGGTGAGGGGTCGGGAAAGGCCTCTCTGCGGAGGGATACTTCAGATGGAAAATGAGTCCGTGTCCTCCACGCAAAGAGCCTCGAGCAAACAGCAAAGCATGCAGGGCAACAGCTGGTGCAGAGGGGGAGGACGGCTCGTTTGAGGAACGGAAAAAAAGCTTTGGGAGCAAGACAGGCACGGGGGACCTTCGAGGAGCTTCCCAGCTCTAATGCTCTGCTTGGGTGACCCTGCTGTCTTCATTCAGCCACCTGTCGTCTCACCCGCGAGTGTCACTCAGAGCCTGCGGCGTGCGGGCTGTGGCCAGATCCAGGGAGGCGGGATCAGACAGCAAGAGGGCCCTGCCCAGCCAGGAGGTCGCGGTGCTCTGAGAGCTCACTGTCCGGACTGCAGAGAAGACGCCTCTGAGGAGCGTTTGGTGGCCAAGGCGGTTGCATGGCGAGAGCAGAGCGCAAGTGGGGCTGATCCCTCCTCAGCAGAGAGCGGGGCCCGCCCAGCATCCCCAGGGTCTCCCGGCTCCTGGGCTCCTGCTAGGGGACGGTGGGGGCAGAATGGAGCTGGCACAGGGTGTCAAGTCCCCTACCCCACCGATCACAGCTGTCCTTCAAGGGAGGCAGAGACGTGGGGACTGTCTGGCCCAGGGCCCGGAAAGCGGTCCTACCATGGAACCAGGGGGCGATGGACTTGGTGTTCCTCTCAAAGCCGGCGCGGCGGGGCAGCTGCTCCTCCTTAAACCAGCGGACGATGACATCTCGGGACACTGGACGCAGCGGGCGCTCCCAAGTGCGGCTGAGAAGAGAGGGAGAAAGGGTGGAAGAGTGGAACGGGGTGGAAAGAAGAGGGGAGTGAAAGAGAAAGGGGCAAAGAGGGAAGAAGGAAAATAGGGGAGAGGGAGGGAGCAGGTGGGAGGAGGAAGGAGAAGTGAGGAAGGAGGGGAGGGGGAGGGGGAGGAGGGCAGGGCAGGCCATGGAGAGAACGGATAAGCCTGATGCCCACATTCATGCCTATGGAGAGGATTAAACAAGCCCAGGTACTTGAGGGCACTTCCAGATTATAATGTACCAGCTGTTATTATTGTTTCTAAAAGAAAACCATTATCACTTTCAAAAAAAATAAAAGCCACACAGGTGAGAGTGAAAAGAGGTTGGGAGGAGACACCGAGAAAAAGAAAAGGCAGATTCCCCAAGCACGGCCAGGGCATGACCATCAACATCCTGATGGAACAGGAACAAATGTATTGCTATGCGCGTGTCCCCCACACCCCTCACTCCCTGACAGAGAGAATTCTGGGTCCCCTGCCCTGTATCACCCCCTCTCCACCCTCTAAGGGGACACCTGCCTCTGCCACTAGCTCCTGTAGTTTTATGAGGCAGAAGCAGCACAGTGAACAGAGAAACCAGAGAACCCATGTGCTCTGGAAATAGCTGAGATTCCCCGCCCAGGAAATACAAAGGACGAGGACAGGGAAAAGGGGCACCACCCACGGCTGCCTGCGGACATGGAGCCTGAGGACTGCAGGCACCAAGAGCGGAGTGAGCAGGAGCGTGTGAAGCGTGTAAGAGAGTGTACCAGCTGCGTGTCAATGTTTTCTCACAAGTAAGCCAAGACTGTCGTTGCTTTTGTGTCTGACCTGTGGTTCCTGAATACACACCCAGCCTGGGCCGCGTGAGACCCCTGCTGTATTAGGGCTACACTAAAACAGTAAGAGTTTGACAGCACTTAACACACAGCAGGCGCCCAAGAACGATGTGCTGAATTAATATGTGGCGAAACCATGCTGCATTAACTCATAGCACGAAAACATCTGAACAGCAAGGCCTCGGCCCACCTTGATCGCAGCCTCCTCACCATTCCCCGCTGAGCGACAGAAACCCGGTTAATTCTTATTTTATCATTGCTATCCACCTAATAGTACTGGCATTTAGGATTCGCCACTGCTGTCCTTGTTCTTTATAAAATAAATGCCAGCTATCTCCCTGTGTAGTCTCCGTATTTGCCCTGTGCCAACACTCTGACAGCACACGTCCTTGCAAGTCCCAGAATGAATCCACTTGGCTTACTTTTGCTTGCCCTAAGATGAATACACTTACACACACGCACTGGTGCACACACACACACACACGCACACATGCGCACACATATACACACAACAGCGAACACTGTAGATTTGAGAAAAGATGCTGGAAGAAAAACAGAAAGTGAGGTTACATTCCACAGCTTAAAGCCATCATCGCTTGAGTTTGCCTCCAAACCCTGTCTTCCCTCATGCCTCTCTGGGCTTCCTTTAACGCTCCAGCCCTACAATGGCCTTGCTGCCTGTGGCATCCTCCCGGTTCCCTCTCAGGAGCCAGATCCTCCTCCTCATTAAGCAGCACAGGGCAGCCCCGCCCCACCCAGCCTCTTCCTCCACATTGCATTCCCTGAAAAAATAACTGTGTGTTATTTTTTCACAGAGGGTGGGAGGCATCCTCTAGTTTCTAATACTTACTCTCCTTAGAAGGCAATTGGACGGTATAAATAACAGCAAAAAAAAAAAAATTCACTCAATCTTGTCCCTCTGTTCCTAAGCAGTGGATTTGAATTTGTTTCTAAGCAGAGAATTCCTAAGCAGGAAATCTGATTCCCTCAGATCGCAAATGCTAGGCCAGCATGGCTGCTCCAAGTGGCCCTGGGCAGAGCTTCACTCCTGTACCTGGAACTTCTGTCCCATCAGTGGCGAGCTGCCACCCTGCAGCACCGACAGACCGGGTGCAGGCCAGAGCAAGTGCCACAAAGCTGGGAGCAGCGAGGCCAAAGGGTCTGTCCTTTGGGGCAGCCACAAGAGGGAGGCAGGTGGGTGGCTCCTCTTTGGGCCTGGGTCCGCAGCTCTGTGTGCATGGCTTCTTCCCCACCTGCCGCTCCCCTAGTGACTGCACAGCTGGCCCAGAACCAGGCTGCGCAGGGTCCCCACGTGGCTCTGTCATTGTGGTCCAAGGGATAAATTCAAGGTTTCTTTTTAGAAGCATAGAGAGGAAGAAGGCTTTTCTAATCATGCTCCCCAAATCTAAAAAACGTAAAAGGAAATTTGACCTCATAAAAATCAAGAATTTCTGCATGACAGAAAATTCCATCACTCAAGTCAAAAGATAAGTGACAAAATGAGAAAAAACATTTATCACAGACAAAGGGATCCCTCCTCCCTAATAGTTAAGGAGTTTCTAGAAATCAAAAAGGAAAAGACGAATAGCACAATAAAAAATAAACGGGTGGAAGAAAGAACAGATAGATAAGGAAATACCAGTGGTCCTTAAACATATACAAAATGCTTAGTCTCAGTCATAAATAGAAATGCAAGTTTAAACTTGCTCTGAGATATCATTTCTCATACAAAACGTAAGTTTGCCAAGATGCTGTCGGCAAGGCTGAGGGGTGAGACTGTGAATTGCTGTCACCCGTATAGACACCAAGCTGATGACTGCTATCAATATCATAAATGCACACAGCCCCGACCCCACAATCCCACTTTTGGGGATTTCTCTTGCAGATAATAGTCACATGTGTATAAAATGAACTTCTGCAAGGTTGTTCATTAAGGGCACTGTTGGTGACAACCAACGATTTGAAACAATGCCAATGGCCACTAATATAGAGTTTTTGATAAATTATAGCACATCCATGCAGAAGAATACCATGCACCTGTTAAAAAATACCCTAAATAAAATTAAATTAACAAGCTAAGAATTGATATGAAAAGACCTCTGAAAATAGTTAAATAGGGGGGAAAAGTGCAGAACCCTGTGTATAATATGCCATCTTTTGTGCATAAAAAGGGGGCATAAGATTTTTCATATTGGCAACTGCAAAAAGAAACCGGGAGGATATGGCAGAGCAATAGTTGCCCATGGGGGCAGAGGGGACTGAGCAGACGGAGGACAAGGGAAGGAGCAGGATTTTTCTGGGTCGACCCTTCTAAACTCTGTGGCTTGGGAACCACATACATGACAAGAAGGAAGGGGCAGGAGGGAGGAAGGGAAGACGTGAAGTCAGGGTCAGCCCTTCCTAGACTGCAGAGAGAGGGGGAAGAGGGTTATATGAATAACCCCAAATCCCAATTAAAGCAAAAGCCAGACAACCCTTCGTTATCTGGGGGTAAACGGACTCTCGGGCAGACGGCCTGTGGCTAAGGGAGCCGGCAGGTGGTCGCTGGAGAATGACGGGAGCAGGGGGCACCTGAGAGGAGAGGGGTCAAACTCCAGGGCTGCCTAAGGTGGGCACAGGAGAAAGGTAGAGAGGCTCCCTGTGACCTTTTGACCTTTGGTCCTGGCAATCGTGGGCAGTCACCTAAATGCCCTTGCCAAACAAACCCTTTGGGGACACAAATGTGTGTGGGGACCCTCGTGCACTCAACCACACTGAACCGCAAACCTGTTAATCCAGCTGGGGAGAAGGCAGCGCTGCCTGTGGGATTCCAGGCCACCGGGCCATATTTAACCCATTTGAGATCTTTCATTCCAAGTTCTTAACCTGGGGTCCGGGGAACTTTTAAGAGTAAACTGGCAAGCAAGCGTTTGGGGGTATTTATAGGTGCACACCTCAGGACGAGGGGGATGCACAGCTTTCTTCAGATTCTCAAAGGAATCCTTGATCCCCAAAAGGTTAAGACCTTCAGAACTCCAAAGTTACTAGAAATCTCCAACCCTCGTACCTCTCCTGCCCGTCCCGCCCCATTACACAGACTGGGAATCTGAGATACAAAGACGGGCAACGACTCGCCCCAATTTCAATGCAAGTCCGGGGCAGAACCATCGCCGGCACCCCGGTGTCACACACCCCAGTCCAAGGCCCCGCCCCAGCACGTGGCCGCAGAGCCGGACCCACCTGACCCGCACAGGGAGGGGTTGCGGCGGCCCCGGGCCCGGCAGGTGGTGGTAGAGTCTCGCCTCCTGCTCCTGGCTCTGGCCCAGCTCGCGGAACATGGAGCTGAGGCCGGCGACGGTGCCCTTCTGGATGGCGCGGAGCGAGTGGCGCCGGTACTCGTCCCGGGCGCGCTGGGCTCGGCGGCTCCTCTCTTCATCAGCAGCCTTGGAACGGCGCACTGGAGAGAGGGAGACAGCGTTGGCACAGACCCGCAGCCCAGGCTGTGCACTGCATAAGCCAGGACCCGGCTTAGTCCGGGAGCCCCAGGACTCACCTGGAGTCCCAGGATTCACTCAGAACCGGCCACTCAGACCCACAGGGGCTGCCTGGGGGCTCGCAGCGCAGGACTGGCAGGGCAGCCCGGGTCCAGCCCTAACAGCAGCCCTAGGGCAAGCCTGTCCCTATGGAGGCAAAGACACTCATGACAATTTAGAGTTGTCTGTTGCTGTGACTCCATTCCAGAACCATCTAATAACCTGTAGATGGAAACTTCCATCTCCATCTTCCTGGGAGTGCCCTGCTCGGAGCAGCTTCTCAAACCCTGCGCCCACCTGCCCAGCCTCAAGGGCACCTGTCAAGGTGGTCTGCATCTGCACACACCGCCACCATTGCCCGCATTGACTGCGGGCTGGCTCTGTGCCAAGCCCTGGGCTCCGTGCTCTCCCAGCATCTCCTCCCTACGGACACTCCCCCGACCACCTGGGAGAGGCACGTCGCTGTTCTGCTTTATAGGTGAGGAAACCCAGCCTCCAAAAGGTTAAACAACTTGCACAAAGTTAAAGAGCTAATAAAGTTTGGGGGATGGACATGCTTGAAGCTCTTACTCGAGGGGGGAGGGGGGCATGGGCAATATAAGTAACTTTAACACTTGTACCCCCATAATATGCTAAAATAAAAAATAAAAAACTGGCAAAAATTTTTTTTAAAAAAAAGAGCTAATAAAGGGAAGAGCCAGGAATGGAAACCCAGCGTGCCTGGTTCTAAAACCCATAAGGCTCTTCCCACCACATGGCCCACCCCACCCCAAGCTCCCTTCTAGTTAACACAGCTCCCTGTGTATCTGACACCAGAGCTCTTTCCTGCAGAAAAGCCAAAGGAGCATTTAAAGACCATCTGGTTCAGCCAGGTGCTGTGGCTCGTGTCTATAATCCTAGCTACGCAGGAGGCTGACCGTGGGAGCGATTCCTTGGGCCCACGAGTTCAAGACCAGCCTGGGCAACATAGCGAGACCCTGTGTCCCAAAAACTAAGGGCAATCTGGTCCAACCTCTTCATGTTCCTCGTGTGGAAACTGAGGCCCCAGGAAGACCAGAGACTTGCCCACCTGGGTCAGTGGACCAGGCCACAAACCATCCTTTCTGCTATCACAGAGTAAGTTGTCAGAAATGTTAGTGTCTCTGTTCTGGTGCCCTTTGTTTTGTGTTTCCTATAACCTTGGGAGCTGGTGAGTGAGCGTGGCAGAGGGAGAGGGAAGAGGATCTTCTGGTAACTGTACAGATTACAAGACTCCAAGACACCCCTCTCTCCACCTCCCATCTTTTTGTGCTCCTCACAAAGGGCCCTGTCTCAGCCAAGCAGTCCTGAAAAGACAATCTCTGCTGCTGCTTCTAAAACTCAAAAGGGAGGTCTGCAACTGGGAAAATGCAGGAGAGGCAGCAAAACTTATTGGAGACAAGGTCCCGAATGAAAACCAATTATTTTGTAGTCTGATTGCATCTTGACGGGCCCCTCTCTGCTTCTAAAACCCAGTCCTTTTATAGAGAACTCTTGAAGCTGGCCTCTTTCTTCTAATTGTGCCAGGCTAATGATTGTCTGGGACCCCCGCAGGTCGCCTTCTCCTCCTGGAGTAAAATCTTAGTCTGTGTCTACTCCAGCACCATTCAACACGCGCCTAGCAGGCGCCCCGCAAGATCTGTGCTCTCCTTTAGCATTTGGCGGTAAAGGTCAGCTGCCCTGGTCCTGTAAGAAAGAAAGGGTCTCTACTTCACAAGTTGTCAAAGCACCCCTCCTGGGAACATAGCATCTCCCAGATCTGAGGGAGGCAGTGTGAAGTCTGCCCCTCAGAAGGTATTTATGGAAGTGTACCTCGTGGGTGTCACACGCGGAATATCCGCTAGGCTGTGAACTCCACGAGGGCAGGTGGAGAATTTTCTTTGGTCTATTCATTGCTGTATTCTAGTGCCAAGAACACGGCAGGTGATACATATTTTTGGATGACTGATTGCGCCCAATTAAGTATTTAACTTTGCATTAGGCCCTGAGCTGGGTACAGAGATAACAGAGAAATAGACCCTGCTGTCTCAGAGCCAAGCTGGAAAAATAAGACCAAAGAAATATCTCCACCATAATGAAAAGAAAGTAGTATCATTTTTAAAAAGACCAATAAAGTATTGGCAGACATGAGGGGCAGCAGGACTCACATTCTGCTAGGGAGCAGGCAGCCGTCACAGAGAGAGAATTTGACCGGGTCTGAGAAAATCAATGGGTATTTTTCCAAAGAAAGAAGAGGAAGGAGGCCATTTTAGGGAGAAAACCTAGGTTTCGGTCCCTGGTTGGCTCATCTGTAACGTTCAGATACTAAGGACACCGGAATACCTGCCTTGCATTGGGGTGAGAGGCTCCAACCAGGTCAGGACGCCCAGGGATGGGCTCTGTAGTCACTAGACTGCAACCTAGTCACTAGGAGCTCGTGCCCTGGTGGGGCCAGGGAGGTGGGGAGTTTACAGCCCCTGAGAGACAGTAACATTCAGTGACAGACAGGTTGCAGAGAGAAATTGTATGCAGACTAGGGCGACAGGTTTTTGGAACTCAGACAGCTGAGACACTGAGCCATTTGTCACAAAGAGACTAAATCCATCCTCCTGAAGCCCAGCTCTGAATCTTGCCATTCTCTTCCTCAAAAGCCTTCAGTGGCTCCCCAAGTGCAAACGCCGTGGCCTGGCAGATGAAGCCCTGAAGAAGTACCCTGCCCGCTCTTCTCTCCCAGCTCGGTGGGCCTCTGAGCTCTCCCCTGCCCTCCTTATACACACACACACACACACACACACACACGCACACGCACACACACGCACACGCACACACTGTGCTCTGGCTCCACCAAGCACTCACCATGCTACAGCTGTGGTCACTGACTCAGACCAACCCTGGGTCTGCTCATAAATGCCAGGCCCCCCACTCCCCTGCCCAGACACGAAAGACTCAGTGCCCTATAGAATTCAGAGGACCCAGCCATATCTTACAGAAAAACCGAATGTTTCAAAGCAACATCAATTTGTAGTAATCCTTTGGGTGGACAGAGGAATGTTCCCTGAAATTAATGAAGAATCCTATAGTATAGGGAAAGACATCAATAAAGATTTAAATTGTATATGTGTGTAGATGTGTTTAAATTCTTCTCCTTGCGATCTTGGGCAGCTGGAGTTACCCTGTCTGCACTTTTCTTCCTCGTCTGTAGAATGACGGCCTCATAGGGCAGCTGTGAGACATAAATGGGATAGTTCATAGAAGGGGCTTCCCCGGTCCTTGGCACATGGCAGAGGTTCATTAAATAGTATTTATTGTGGTTTTATCACGTTTCCTGTGAGATGGGGAGGCTGGAAGGGCACCTTTAGAAATGGTCCATTTCCGGGTGGAGGTGGGAGGTGGTGTAGGGTGGGGGCTGGGTAGGGAACAGGAAAAATGAAAACTGAGTGCACAGGGGAAGCCTCTTGACCCCTGAGAAGGAGGAACAGGCGGCCCAGATGTTGAAGAGAACACCCAGGCCTTTTGCAAGTCAGCTGGCTGGAGTTTCCATCACCTGGAAGAACGGGTGGGGTGGGCACTCACGATGATGCCCCTGAGAGATGAACCTCTGGGGAAGTAAGCGAAGTTCCCCCACAGCTAAACCCGGGCCAGGGGAAGGGGCTCGCTCCACCCACCCAAGGTATCTGATCCTCGTCCCGCTGGCTGTGCCCGGGTGGCTGCCAACACTGGCCCCCTGTGGCCGCCGGGGGTAACTGCAGAGGTTCCTTAAGCCCCAACACCCCACACCAGACCCCAGGATGCTGGAGCCATTCAAGAGGAGAGAGAATCCTAAGCAGGGCACAGATGGGCCACTCAGGTTGGCATTTTTCCGAGTTATAATACCAAAAATATATGGCACCTGGAGTTTGGAAAGCACTTCAAATTAGTTATGTCCTAGGAGAAACTGCACGATTTCCCATCCCATCGGTGGAGAGAAAAAGCCCTTCTGTTGTCCTCTCCTGTAGCTGTCCTCCCAGCTTGAAATTCCACTCTGCTCCACCCCTAGGCCGGACGCCACCCCCACAAGCCCGTCCTGGCTCTGTGTGTCTCAAGCCTACAGCGTTTTAGAATCACTGACGTTAAACCCAGACCTCAGAACACGCACCTTCCTAAGAGAGAAGGAATGGAACCCGCAGCACTGGACCCTGGCCGGGGCCTGAGGCCACATTTCTCACTCAGCTCTACCAGCAGCCTGGCAAGGACTGGGCCAACGGGCGCGTGGTGCCAGCCGAGGGCCACACCCGAAATCCCACAGTTCCAGGAGCCCAGCGGTGAACAAGTCCGACTGCCCCCAAACCCTATTTTTACATTGCTAATAAATAACAATAACAAATGTCCAGTTTTTATAAACAGTATCATTTGTCAAGTCATGCAGGCTCATCTCCAAATCTCTGGGCAACTAACTAGATGTTATCTAGCTCCACACTCCTACAGGTTCTCCGCTGAAAAATTATGAAATGAATTTCTGTGCCTGATGCATTCTCAGCAGCCAGAGCTCTGGCTGAATAACTAACTGAATTCTCTGTTGAACTGAATAACTAACTGTTTTCAAATGATTCTAAAGGGGATAATTCTCTTTTTCCCTAACTTGGAGAATTTAATTTGGGTGTTTTATCAAAGACTGCTACTCCCCGATAGATTAATGGCCCACTCTATCTTTCATATTAAATTAATTGAGTGTAGAATGGCTTTGCTGGGTTTGAACGACAGGCTCTGGAGTTTAGCTGCTCATTCTTTAAGAAAGTATAAAATGAGGAACTAAAATCATAAGGCCTGAATTATCACATCTTTTTTCTGGGTTTTGGAGGCTTTTCCCTTGTCAGCTGCCACACGGTACATTAATTAGCAATCACGCGGCTCCGGGGCCACATGAGTTCCATTCTCTGTCGCGAAAGAC